AGTGTATTGAATAATGGAAAATTATAATTAATTAGATGTACAACTCCTTGTTTTAATTATGTCACAAGCATGCGTTAAATTTCCAGTGAATAATACAGCAAATAATTACTCTTAAAAAGTATGAGACCATGTAAAGAAATGATTGAAAACGTTTCTTGCTCTCTAAAAATCTCTTTTATTTAATTCTGCTTTAAACACCAGCATAGCAATAAAATTTTGCAAGCATTTCTGCGCTCATTAATTTTTTAATTCCAATGAATTAATTGAATTTTGAATTCATCTTTGAAGAGCTTTGTATTCTTTTGTGAAAATTGGGGAAAATCTTTTTCAGTTGATTTTGTTATCGTTTCTGTTAATGCTGCCCTAATCATGTTTGCTATAAAGGTATCACATTAAAGGTATCACTGTTTAACAGTGCATTTCATATGTTTGTCAGTGTTAATTTTTTTAGAAAAGCACAATTACTCAGTAATGTTTTGTTTAAAAAAAGTTCAAAACTACACATCATCCACAAATAAACACTCAAAGGTTGTTTAAGTAATTATTGGAGACAATTGTGAGGCTATTGCCCGCACTTTAACTGTATATTGTAAAGATAATCAAATAACTTGAGGATTTTTGAAAAAAATGGTAACAAAACCTATAAAAAATTATCTTTTCAAAGATACTTGTTTTCAATTTTTTTTTGCTTACCAAGCGAGGATGATGTGGGATGCATATATATTTTTTGTTAATTATTATCTAGATGATGTCTATTTTGAAGTTTAACCTTATGCATCTTAACCAAAAATTAGGTGTTTTATAAAGGTTTTAAGTATACATCAATTACTTATATGTCACTAACTTGGAATAGCAAAATATTTAAAATGATTAATTAATTCAGTGTGATTAATATAAAAGCTTGGTTAAATTAAATACCAAGATTTTGCACCTTGTAAAATAGTACATTTTGTGACTTTTTGACTTCCCACATAAAAAGTCTTGTTTTGAATTTAACACATTATGTGCTATTATGTCACTTTATTGCTTCACAATGTCTTGCAAAAAAAAATATTGAACCATATAATAAAGTAGATTATTTTATCTTTCTTTACATTTAATATCAGATCATACTGTCAGCAATAAATCCTTTAAAGTTGCAATTTTAATTCTTTTCGAAAATTTTAATATATTTAAAACATTTAGACAATGCTTAAATTTCCTGATTTGGAAAGATTTGCTGATTTGTAAAAAGACTTTTAAAATTCCAGTTTATTTAGATATAAATAAGTATTGGATTTTTACTTTTACTCTTTTTATGTGGGCTATAAAGTTATATGAGTTGGTATGAATAAGAATGAAATAAGTTGTATTTAGCAAACAACTGGAAAATCTGCAAGCATTTGACGAGTGAAAATTTTAAAGTCTAGATTTTTTATTTTCAAGATTTATTACAACACAAATTGCTTTAATGCATAAATATACTATTGATTACCAGAAAATATTACTTGAATCACATCTGGCTAGTATCATTTGAATGTTCCAGTGAATAATATATTAAGGCACGAAACATTCATTCAATAAATCCTTAGTTTCTTTTTCTTATTGTTAACAACAACATTAAAATTCATTATTACTCTGGTAAAAGTTTAAAAATGTTAACAAAAATTTCCATAGCACGAATCACATGTCGATGGTGTAATGTAAGATAATAATCACATTTTTGAGCTGAAAATAAATTATTCAATACGAGCAGCATATGAATTATTTTTAAGTCGATAATTTGATGATGAAAGAGTAGCTTCCGATATTCACATGTGTGTTTTTCTTAGATTCTATAAGAGAAAAAAACCTATCTGTTTGCAATGTGCGTTGGTGTAATTTTTTTGTTCATTGTTCATTTCAGAAAATCATCTCGCGATTTAGTAGAATATGCAAAGACAGAAGAAATAATATAAGAGAATTCGAAATGGAAGAAAAGTATAAGTAAAATAAAATAAAATAAAATAAAATTTAATAGGATTTTTATTATCACTTCGTATATGCATGAATTTATATAAATTTCTTGAACATCAGCTGAACATTATGTAGAATAAAAAGTAACGAGAGCGAATAGCAAATGTGTGTGCACATTAAGATTGATAAGAGAGCACACATAATAACATATACAAAAGTTAAAATGTGTAATGAAATGTTTAACGCAATGTTCATCGCAATGAGATATTTTTTTGCAACATCCTTCCCTTTTGAGCTTTTAAATAAATAAAATAAAATAATTTAAAATAAGAATATTTGTAAAAAGGATTATTATTATTATTATTATTATTATTATTTATTATTATACTTTCTCTTGTTTTAAAGGAAAAAGCCCATAAATTGCACTACATATCAGTGACAATTGTACAGGCATAAAAAACCTTTACATAAATACATAAAAATAATGAGTTTCAATGATTTAAATAAAATCTTTAAAGAAACTCATAAAATAACGAACATTTTGAATTTAAAAACTTGATACGAAAATAACGGTCGTTCTTAATTTAAAATGTCTTAATTCAAAAATTGATTGTTGTGTTTGTAAACAAAATACATAAAGTTTAAATTTGAAACATAATTTGTTAAAATCTGCACGATTTGGATGATGACAAGAATACACTATTGTGATGATGATACGACGGATACATCCCCGGATACAAAGTCATAGATCCAATGGAAAAGCTAAGTTGAAGTTTTAATTAAATAATTTTACTATTTTTGTCTTAAGCTAATATGATGATTTAATTTCTTCTCATTTTAGATGCCCAGAGAGTAATGAAGATAGTTTAGCAGAACTTTTTCAAGTATTCATTTGAGAAGCAGGTCATTATAAAGTTTTCATTACGCATGTGACACCGAAGTGCCCATTTGAAAGCTGCTGGATGTTTGAGTTCTTTGAGTTCCATAGGCAAGCTGTTAAAGACTTTGACGCCGAAAGAAGAAATTGATTTATGTCCATAGTGAGTATTTGATAATGTAGTTTCTATTTTTTTTTGCTGGCTTGATCTTCCTCGCCTGTTTTCCGTCTGTTTGAAGCGTATGTTTGAATGAATATATCGATGAATATTTTTGTAAATGTAGCTTGCATTCATGAGAAAATTTATTCCTCGTATAGGCAGGCAATTCTCGGTTTTATGCGTATACATTTCTACTCTACTAGTTTCTCTTTTTAAGTTAAATACACTTCTTAAAGCTCTGTTCTGGATGGACTGAAGGGGCTTTATCACATTATCACATGCAGCTCCCCATATTAAATTCATGTAAAGTAAATGCGATTCAAACAATGTGCTGTATATCTTCTTTTTAATGTATATTGGTAACTTATTTTTCAATTTCCAAAGCATTCCTGCGCAAGATGCGAGTTTAGATTCCAGATTTCTACAGTGATAATCAAATTTTAGATGTTCATCTAATACTAATCCGAGATACTTTGCTGTCTTCGCTCTTTTCATTGTGAAATTGTCATTAATGACAATCTCTTCAGCGTCATTTAATTTTTGATAGGGAGAGTGCATGATCATATATATAGTTTTCGATTCGTTCAATGCTAGTTTCTTGTAGTTCAGAAATTCAGTTATTTTTGTAACATCATTCCTAACAACTTCATCAATTGAATCTTTTTTATCGTGAACATTGAGTATTAGTGCATCGTCAGCATACATATAAAGGGTACCATTCAGATTCAGTTGAGAAATTTCATTAATAAATATTAAGAAGAGTAGACTTCCCAATGTTCCTCCCTGAACAACTCCATTTGAAACGATTCTCAGAGTGCTAAAGCAATTGTCAATTTTTACAATTTGCTTCCTGTCAGTCAGATAATTTTTGATTAACTTTAAAATAATACCACGAATTCCAGATCTTTCAAGTGACATCAAAAGTTGTTGTATGTCAACAGAATCAAATGCTTTTTTGACATCCATCATCACTATAGAGACTTTCTTTTTATTATCAATGTTCTTTCTAATATCATTCACAAGTTCAACAGCAGCTATTTCTGTATTAGATTTTTCTCTAAATCCAAACTGCTTACTGTACAGCAAATTATTTTTGTTAATGAAATTCAGAATCCTTCGGTATAGAATCTTCTCAACCACCTTATTGAAAGATGTGAGAATTGACACTGGTCTATAGTCCTGTATGTCGTTCTTCTTTCCTGATTTATTAATAGGGATAACAATGGCAGTCTTAAATATTTCTGGATAAATGCCAGTTTGAAACATTCTGTTCATCAGATGACATAAAGGGCGAGAAAATTCATTACTTAGTAACTTTATTATTTGGGGTTTTATTCCATCAATCCCTTGTGAAACATTCTTAAGTGAAATTATGGCATCCTTTACTTCAGTAGCATTAGTTTCTTCAAGACCCATTGATTTAGATAATGAGGTAAAATTTATTGGTTTTCTTGCTTTGGGTATACTTGATACTGCCTCATTAACGCTATCAATAAAATGCTGGTTGAAACTTTCAGCTATTTCGTGCTTGTTAAATATCATTTTGCCATTGTTGTCACATATTGATGAGATTCCGTCATTAGATCGTCTCCCCAAAATTGAATTTAGATTTCGCCACAGCACTTTCGGATCTTTAACCATAAGATTTTTAAAGTTATATTTTTTTTCTTCTAATTTTATAGTGCTTTTTAGTTTTTGTGATACTTTTTTAAATTGCGTTTTCATTGCTAGGATATTAATGAACCGTTCGGAATATATATCTTTTGTTTTATTAAAATATAAAGTTGGAGGCTTATGAACATTTTACATTCAACAAATTTAAATTTAAAATTATTTTCAATAAAAAAAAAATCAAATAGAAGTCTAAGAACTTCCTTTAAACCCAATTTTTTTTTATTTTCACTTTTGATTTTAAGTGATAATTTTTAATTTTATTTGTAGTCGCACATTAATACTTAAAAAGTTTTTAAAAACTATCACTAAAAAGCATTATTAAACTAGAAGTTTTTGATTGCTCAATTCGCTTACCTTATTTGCAGATCCTTGTAAATAATATAATAGCACAAACATCCATGAGATACAAAATACTATGAAAAATTTCACATTTCGTCGCATTTTTGCCAAGGATATCAAATTAAGCTTCCTAATTTTTGGCATTTCTAATATTTTCACTATGTATTTTTACTTAAACTTTTCTACTCTGCTTAAAACTTTTAAAAAATTTTCTATAACTTTTATTCCTTAATAATGAAGGGTTTGATTTTCAATGAAATTTTCTTATCCTTTATATGAATGGAAAAATATAAAGAGCCAAAAACTTTTTTTTTCACTGTCGGAGAATGAAAATTAATCGAAGTTTTTCTTCAAAATTATTTTCATTCATCTTTTTGCTTCTTGTTTCACGCACTCAATTCATTCACAAGAAATGATTTATTTGATTTGATTCTTTTTGATTCTTCTTTTTATTGGATATGCGGAAGGAATTTCAAAGTACTTTTTTTTACAATTCTTCTCGTCAATTTAAATCGATGTGAAAACATCGACGACTGCTCAGACACTAAGCAGACATTCAGTAAACTAAAGTCTCACAACGTTATATTCTCTCACAAATTTTATATTCAAGCTCTCTGTTTATGTTTCACTTTCCGAAAAGATTTGTATTAAGTTCATCTCTCTGTAAATGACTCATTCTGGTCTAATAAGCATATTTCTCTCGCTTACATTTAGATATAATATTAGGTCATTTACGAAAGCATTTTTGACACTTAAAAATTTCAATTCCAGACTAAATGACAGTTTTATAAATTCAAAGCTGCTTATTAAATATTAAATTTATTGTGTTTATTGTCGAAATTGCTTTGCTAATGGCTAGTATTTTACACACTTAACAAATAATTTCAGAAGCATTTATGGAAGTAATTTACATTTGCTTATAGCTTTATTTTTTATTTAAAGCATCACGAGATTCAGTTTTTTGAATTCAAAAGTTAAATTTTTATTTATGTTCCTTATTTTAGAAAAACTAGCCAAAACTTTAGAATTCGATTTTTCTTCTTCTAATTTAAGAATCTCAGGTTATTAAAATCCAAAATTCTTTAGTGTATGTGAAAAGTTTTTATTTTCAGCTTTTACCTCTTTAATAATGTTTTTTTTTATAATAATTATCATGTATTAAATTTATCCAGAAAGACAGAAAAAAAATTGATTCTAATGGAATTTTCACAATTGCTAAATGAAAATTTTTGAGATAACACAACAAAGTACAGTAGGGGGATACCGCATTTATAAAAGTTTCTTCCTTAAAAATCGATGCACCCCTCTTTATAAGGATATACAATCATCTGTTTTAATTCATGCGCAATGGTGAACTTTTTTTTGCGGGAAACTGAAAACATCGAAAACTTCTTATAGTTTTTTAATTTAATAATTTAATTTATATTTTAAAAATTTTATAATAAGATTGAAAAAAAAATGATTTTAAATAAGTTTATATGAGCCACGAAGCAATAATAAACCGTAAGCATTGCGGTAGGTTAGGAGCAGATTTTAAAATTTATTCATATATATACGATTAAAAGAGAGAAACGAAACCAAAAGTGCTACTGTTTGCACATTTTCGTTTATCTCTTTGTATGTTCACAATCATTTATTTCTCTATCAATCAGATTTAGTCGGCCTATTCATAGTTTTGATTACGAAAAATACTCTTGGATTTGTATTTAAAACATTAAACTTATAATTTTTTTGAGCAAAACTTTTAAAAATAAAAAGGAAAGGTTGTAGTATGAATTAAAAGGTTCGGAAAAATTCAAAACCTAATTTAGTGTTTGTTATTATTGAAAACTTACAGATAAAGAATAGCTTTACAATCATATGCATGACGAAGATATAACACATGCCAGTAATTCAACACAAATCATATGCTTCAGCTGTTGAGAAAATTTATTGATCTATTAACGCCACTTCTTATTATAATAACATACATAATATGAACAAAACAATTGACTAACTTTGAAGTTGATTGTATTGTTACATCACATTTATTCATGACTATTTCATTTAATTTTTTTTTTCAATCATGAAACATCATTAGCTTGATTCATGAAATATGCTGAAATGAAGATATATGTTGAATCAGTGTTGCTGACAAATGGCATTCAAAAGAAAAGAAAAATCATTAAAACATTGTAATTTGATGCAGTAATAAAGGAAGAAGAAGTTGAATTCGATATGATGCTTAAACAACACTCACAAATTAATTTTTGATTGATTTTTTTCGAACCACAAGTAAATGAAGTGAAATAATATGGCTATGAGATAGATGTACACTCACTTACTCATTTAAAAGCGATAAACAAAAAATTCATTTGTAAAAAGATTCCTCATCTCACAGTTGTACATTATCCGGACTTTATTTGATTAGATTAGCAAAGGATGGATTAATGTTAAGAAATTTAAGGTTGATTTGTAAATGATATGATATTTTATGCAGTGGATGTAACTTTATTTTTTTTTTGATACTTAACATTAAAAATTGAAAAAGGAATTTTAATGTAACTTTTTATTATCACTATTTAAAAGTAAAAGTTTCGACATATTTAAATGTTGATAATTTTTTAAGACTCTCGGAGCCTTAAACTACTCTTCCTTATTAATTGTGCCGAATTAACTTTCGAATGAATAAAAAATAAAATTAAATCAATTTGTTTGGCAGATTTTCAAGTACATTCGATATATGCATATACATTAAATTAAATGCATTATTTTACACTGAAAATATATACAATATAAATAAAAATTTTCAAATGTGAGAACAGACATTACGGAACAGACTTTAAATTCCATGCAACTTTTTAAAACAACTTTCGATTTCTTAGCTCTTCTGCTGACTTTATATGTTTTATGTATTTGTTTCTTGTTACATATATGAGTACAAAGAAATTTCTATGCACATCTTGAATGCATGAATAAAGTTTAAATAACCATCTGCCTGGAGATTGTTTGTTTTTTCATATTTTTTGCCCATGTGCTTTTATAGTTCCTACTACCGCAATTTTGATACATCATGATCTTGTCTGATCGCTACACTGATGTGTTCTCTTTCATTTTTTTTGCTAAGTAAAAGCTAATTATTCATGTTTTGTACATTAAGTGATCACGAATATTAAAACCAAAATAAAATTATGTACTAAGCAAATTTTCTTTTTTGAATCATGTTCAATTGATGGTAAATTTACATAAGATTATTATGACTTAACTCGTACATCAATTCTACGCATTAATTCTATAAAGTTCAAGTAAAAGTTATGCAATCTATAAAAAATGTTAAAATTATATTCATCTTTAAAGATTAGTTTCATTTTCAGATCGTTTCAAAACTAAAATAATTTGAAATGTTTCAAGTCGTTATATTTATTTATGTATAAACCAAAATGAAAAAAAAAAGTAGAAGTAATTAGTTCCCTCAAAAGATCTTGTTGAATGGAGAATCAACATTTCCAGATCAAGAAAGAAATTATCTCAGATTGCATTGAAATACTGTGAAATATTTTTATTTTTGTTTGTTTTTAAAGTTGTGATTAAAACGTCTCGAGCTATATGCTTATTTTTTTACTAGATCTATGTTTTTGACACCAGTATACACTCTTGTATTTACAAAGATTTGGATAAACAAAACAAAAACTGTAAGCTTTGTTGTAGCGCGATCTATATAAAAGACTGACCCAAACGTGCATTTTATAGAAATAATGATTTTTGTTAATTTTTATTTGAGAAACCTACAAGAAATTTCAACATATGGTGTGAGTGTTCAATCAAAAGTGATCTGCGTTTATACTGGTTCATGATATTATTGACCGGCAAAAGATAACAACAATCGCAGTTAATAATAAAGCTTGTGAATTTTCACCAATTTTTTTTTATATATATTAGTTGACCCACTTTTAATGTCCTTGTATTTTTGTGTAAATAAACAAAAACATTCAAGAAAGCACGTGGTCTTGAGGTGAGTAACTAAGGACTCATTACCTATACATCTTATGTTAGTAATCAAATATTTCACAAATACTCTCATAAACCTTATTCATGAGTATGAGTGTAAAGAAAAATTTCACCTAATTATTTGAGCATATTCAACAAATCGCTGTCAAAAAAATGAAAAATGAAAATTTATGAGGAAAAAGATAGAAAGCAAATTGTTTGTCGCTATGGATCATCTTCGATTAAACAATTTATTTACAAAATAATCAGGGAAATTGTTGTAAACATAAATCATCGCTTAGAATTCATAAATATTCAAAAAAGGAAGATTTTAAATCCAAAATTTCAAAAATTTGATGCATAGATCATTTTTTAAAATATATTTTGGACGAAATTGTTAGACAATCTTTGATATGAAATCATCAAAAATTTCTTCCTCTTGCAAAGAAAAAAAAAATTTATAAATTTGAAATCAAAATTCTTTTACGCGCATTGCCGAAAAGAATAGAGTCAATGGTTCGTTTATTTCACTACAATGTCTGTTCAGGGATCTCCATAGCAATGGATCAAGAAACGTGCTTTTTGATCGTAAAAACACGAGTCACTACCACAAATAAGACTAATAAATTTTACAAAGGCTTAAAACAGTTTGCGAAAAAGTTCCTTCGCATTCAGACTTGCGGGAACCATCGTGAAGTACAGTTGAAACGAAAAACAGTGCAAGATTTTTGATATTTTCTACAAAAGGATAATTGTTATGTAAAAGAAGGAATATATAAGACGGAGTATAAGACAGTGTTAGTGACGACAGGAAAATTCAATGTTAGCCTAGAAAAAATGTGACTTAAAATTGGGTTTCCTTACAAACGACTGTTCCATTCAATGAAAAGTCTTTGAACGTGAAAGAGGAGTTAAAAGAAATGAAAAAAATTTGCATTTTAAACATAGTTGAAATTTTATAAATGAAATATAGTTATTAAAATATATTAATTCAAGTGTTCATCTTTTCTTAAAAATTGAAATTCGAATTGTATAAATAAAATTAAAATAAACTATGCATAATGAATCAGATAAAAAAATACTATCGAAATATTGTAAAAATAAGTTCGATTTATTTATAATAAATTAAGTGAAAAATTTCTTTCATTGGAAATTTGTTAAATGAAAGAATTTTTAAAAAAACTAAACAATGAAATGGAATGTGACATAACAGAAATTAAACAAAAATTAATATAAAAAATAAAAATTAAAAGTCATGTCATCGCCCGGTCCTCCAAGTGGCGGTGCACCAAAAAAGACCAAAGTTAAAAAGAAAATAACTAAAAAGAAAAAGGAAGATGAAGAAAAAGTGCGTAAAGATGGATCGGCAACTGATGAAACAGCATCAAATAGTGATCGTAGAGAAGAAGGTGCTGCAAGTGCGCCTGAAAAGAAGCCACAAAGTGCGGGAGCTTCAATGCGAGATGCTGCTCAGAGAATTCTCACACTCGCTCTTAAAGGAGAGTGGACAGCCGTTGAAGGTGTCGTTAAGTCACTGGAAAAGGCTGTTGAGAAAGCAAAAGCTGCATCTGAAGAGGAGATTTACCTGGCCCCTATGGCTGGTGTTCTCGATCCTGTAAGTTTTTTTTCTACCATTAATTTTTCTACTATCAAACGATACATGAAAGTTAAACTGCAATTAATCTTCTGGCTGTTTTAAAAATTAAAATTCGAAAAAAAAACTTTTTGTGCAACAAAATATCAAGATTAATTACATTTTAGTGTGCAATCAGTTCCAAAACCCAATTTTTTTTACTATAAAAGTTGAATGAATGTATGTATTTTTCTGTATAGAAAATGTGCTTTTATGAAAAAAGAAAGATAGAATGGGAAATACTATTATGTATAAAAAGAAAAATTTATGAATTCTAATTTATGTTTCCAAATATTTTCGCTGAGTTGACTTGACTTGTTATATTGCCTTAAAGTTTGAATTAGCTTATTTTTGCAGACGACATGCGAGGGCGAAGTATTTTGTCAAAAAGTATTTTATGTGATTAAATGTCTGGAAATATTACTGACAGATCCGACTGTTACAAAAATTCTATTCATTTATTCAGGAATCAAACAATTTTTTATTGTAATCTTATACGTATTGAGTTCCCATGCTAAATATTTTTAAGTGAATTAATTTGAATTGAATCTGATTCATCTTTCATAAACACACAAGTTGCAATATATTTTAAAAAATTATTACATGGGAGTGATATCAGCTGAAAACAATATGAGCCAGTTTTCTTCCATATTTCGTGCAAATATTAAATTATGCCATAAAATAGGAAGGAACAAAATAATTAATCGCAAAAAATATGATTAAAAAAATTGCCTTTTTTATCGCAATGGGATTAAAACGCAACTTAAATTTCACAACCCATGTGTAAATGTTTTGAAATACAGGAAAAAATGAAGCATTTGGCATATAATTAAATGAAGCTTCAAATATATAATAGTAAAGTTACTCAGGATCTTAAGCTTATAATTAACTGTAAAGTGTGTCACACTAGAAAGGAAATAAAAAGAAAGAGAAAAAATTCTCAGCTGTGTGGCTGAATGTGTAAGAAAATATGTGTGAGAGAGATAGGTGGTAAAAGGGAAACAGGTTAATTTATTCTGCTCGTATACATAAAAAAGAAAGGAGAGAAATAGCAAAAGGCAGGTTATTCTTATAAGTATTTATATATTTATAGTATCACGACACAACTTTCTTACTATTTTGTCGCTTATGCTACAAACTTACCAAGACTCTTACTAGCTGCCGTGTTCCAATAAATATTATGAGGTCAAGTTGTTTGTGTATTTATGGAAATTTAGTTTTATATACATGAAAAAGCCGCTATGAATGAATGAATGATGGAAAATAAAAAAAGTAGCTTTAAGCTTCACATCGGATTTTTCTCACCCAAGCATGTTCAGCATGATTTAAAATACTTTAGTATATTTTATCAGTTAATAAATGTAAAAAAAATTATATTAATTTCTCTTTATGATTTAATTAGCATACTTATAAGTCATTTCTCATAACGGACTTCAGTTTTTCACAGCAATTTTTTTTTGTGCAACATTCAACTTTTATTTTTAGAACTAGCATACTTTCTTGTTATCTTACAACTTTTAATGAAAATTATGCAGAAATAATTTTAAATAATTTTAATCATACAAGCAAAATTTAACAGGAAAAATATATGGCAAGCATTTGACTTTTCAAAGCTTTATTAAGTTTACCAAAACAAATATTAAGAAAACACGTTATTGCTCCAAAACACAGAGCTGCTCAAAATATATATATCAAAAAATAGAAGCGGTAAAATTAATAGCATGTGTAACTAAATATCCTGAAATTTTCTTGATTATTTCAAAAATAACCTAGTCCAATGGATAAAGTTTACTTTCGTGTGCAAACTGAACACACTTATTATGGATAACATATAAATAGCACAATATTATAACGTTTTTATTTACAAACAAAGTTTTTTGACCCAATGAGCGAATTTTAATACACACAAAATGTCAGACGTTTATATATATATAAAACGGCTGATCGATTTTGAACATAAAAAGCTGATTTACATATTCATTTTGAACATTGCATGAAAATTTCATGCACTCAACAAAAGTTTAATTTTTGCAACATTTAATATTTTGTAAGTTCATGACGTCACAGAAGTGCATTTTATTTTATTTTTGAGGATTGAAACATCTAGGTAATTGAAACAAACAATTTAAATTTTATTCTTCAGAACTCAAAGAAAGGAACAAAGTTTTTTAAACTTTTTATATTTTAGGAAATGTTTTTATTCTATTGTTTCATAAAAGATATTAAAATATATAATAAATTTCCAGATTAAGTCAAGAAAATATTTATTTTACAAAGCTTGGTGCACATAATATATATGTTATAGCTATACAAATCTTAAAAGTTTGGACAACGAATCGAATTTTTCTAGATTTTCTTTTCAATTTTTGCTAATGAACATCTTGCATTTTATATAAGAGAAACATGTTCGTTCCTTTTTATTACAAAATGCTAGAAAAATAAAAGTACGCGATAAAGCAAAAAGAAGAAAAGAAAGAAAAACTACTTGGGTATGCTTGTACTTTTACGTGTTTTATGCTTCTAATTACATATATTTTTAGCATTTGGATTTGTTTAATAGAGAAAAAATGGGGCATGAAATCGGCCACACACACTTCAAGATTTATTGTTTCTTTGCGAGTTTACTTTGCATTCCTTTCGACCACAACAATGTTATGGCTAAAACGAATTTAATGCAATTTTTTTTGTACATTATGTTTAGAAGGAGAAATTAATTATAATTTTTGTTTAATATTTTGTATGTTTTTAAACACTCGATGCACTATGATTTATATAAACATAATATGTTTATTTTATATTCTATAGAGCTTAACAAATGTGAACTTTTTTAAAACTACATGATGTTTTTTGTAACTTAAGTAACAAGTAAAACAAATGCATGAATTTTAATTTTAATGCTTAACTTAATCATTTCAGATGACTGGAAACACACCACTTATGCTGGCTGTTAAGGATAACAAAACACCACTTATAGATAGACTAGTAGACTTGGGTTCAGATGTTTGTGCCCGTAATAATGTAAGTTTTTAATCGTGAATTTATTTAATCAAGTTTTGACAATTTCGTATGATTTAAATGTATAAAGCAGTAATATCTTAATTATAATTTACATACTATTCCATTCATCATATTAAGAGCACAGTAAAGAAAATTTAAGCAATAAAGGTTATTATTGTGATGACCCACATAATAAGCGTCTGAAAACGCAAGAAAAATACAAAAAAGTGTAGAAGAAAAGTTTCTAAAGACACGAAAACAAATGAAAATCACGAAAATGTAAGTGCGAAGAAAGAAAAATTTTAAGAATGAAGAAAACAGAAACACGCTTTGACACGCTCACAGATTTAATGATAAGAAGGTGCCATGAGAGCTGAATTGTTTTTGATACTTTTGTTGCCTCTCTGTTGTAGTTTTTAATTGGAACAACAACCATGTAATTGAGGGGAAATTCTTGAATTTTTTTTTCCATAGTCACCAGATTCCAAGACCTGTCCTCATAAAAAAATTGTATATCATTAACTATTAAGTTACAACTTAATCAATTTTTAAAAGAATTTATGTGCACTAGTTTTTGCGAAAAATAATATCATAAAATATTCACGTAAGTGGTTAGGGCTTAAGTTTTATTGTTTGATTATATTACCAACAAAATATCTGAAAATAAAAGGAGTTTCCAAGCTTTAGGCGAACTGTGACATAAAATGATCTTTATGGTATTATAAAAAGATTTTCGTTTGCTGTTGAAACTTGTCCTTATTTTGCTTCAATTTCCTTTCGCAACACCTACATAATATCTTCAGTGGAAATTCCTTGTCTTGACAACATGAAATATATCAATCATCAAATTATAATAATCAACGAGTGACTAACAATTTTTTTCTTTGTAACATTAAAAACCAATTAAGAAATGACGCGACATAATGGTGAAGAAAGAGAATAAGAAACATGATCGTTTGACTTACATGCTTCTGTTAAATGATTAGAAATTACTATATGGAAATTTTTGGTAGAAATTCCCACCAATTTGCAGTAATGCAAAGAACAATTTTTTGAATAATAATGATTAATTTTCATGGATTTTCCACGCCTGATTATGCCGGATTGTGCGAGATATAAATCATAGATGAGATAATTGCTATAAAATTATGTCGATTAGTCACGGATCATAAATTTTGATGCATGATTATTTACTATAAATTTCCAATTACTATCGGCATTTTTAATACATCGGAAGTTGAATTTCCTATGTTTTTACTGTAATAATTGTAAGCTTTATAACCTACACCAATGCGAAACGATAGTTTGAAAGTCAAACACAAACAAAAATGAACACATATTGGACGTATGAGTAAAGGGAAAGTAAAGGAACTAATTCTCATTACCTGTAGAAAAATTATTCGTCTAACAGTAATCATCATTTCCATACAGCCTTGCCGCTAAAGACCATGACCCGGTTTCTCATATAACTTATAAGAAAGTAAAGAAAAGAAACGGACTAAAATCATTTTCGCGTTCTCAAATACAATCAAAAGGAAAACTTTAAGGTGTTATTCCATATTCTTGATTCATTTTCTTTACTGGGCACTACACTTCTGGTATTTTCATTATTATTACAACCTGTGTAATATTACAGCTAAGACTCAAACAGTTAAAGAAAGAATGAGGAAAGTCCATTAACTTTATTTATACGGTTATAAACACAGCTGTATGCGTGTTTTAAAGAAACCTGAAAGCTTTAGGCATGAAAGAATTACAAGAATACAAAATTGAATTACATTGATATCTACAAAAAGTTTGTCTTTTTAACTTTTACGCAAAGAAGTTGATTCTTTTCATCAATTTCAAATCATTAAGATTGAATGTAAATGTAGCTAATACAACACCAAAGATTAATTTTATTTTTAGAACTCTGAGCTTGTAAGGAATTCTAAATTGCATCTCAAGACTATTTTTTTCATTTTAGTTGCACTTTATTGCATTTTTTGACGACGTACTGTCCGGTAATTCTTTGAAAAGTTATTTAAAAAAATGTTAAGCAAAAGCATGTGACATAGAAAGTTCATTTGATTGTATTAGTAATCCTACTCCTTTTCTTTTACTAGAAAATTTATTTCCATCCACTTTCTGTTCATTCTTATGTACTCATTTGCATAAATATTTCTCATGTTTATCGTGTGACTATAGTTTTATGGCCTACGATTTCAATTGACCAAGCGTTACAATATTTTATCGTCACCTATATCAACAATACTCATGCTATGTTTAGCTATTTTAAGCTCGTAAAAAAAACTTATTTCCATAATTTCATTCATTCACCAAAATTAAAGATATCTTAATACTGATCCATGTTTAGACGAGGAAGATTTTAAAATTAGCAAATCTTATGAATTTTAAATTTGAGAAAATTATTTAAATTTAATCAGTTCTGCCTGTTTGGGCAATAATTTTCATAGTTTAACACAGTTCAGTTCATGTCAAATTTACGAGTAATTTTGTCCTATTAATTTTTCTTTCTTTCCTCACACGACAACTCAAGTAGAATGTGAAAAAATTTAATGCAATTTGCAGACTATTTAATGAGCAAAGCAACAAGTTATTTTTGGATGGTAAAACTTATTTATTTGAAATGTTATATTTCGTACTTATGACGAAAGATTTTTAAAAGCTTCAAAATTTTAACATAAATATTCTAAAGAGCAGAAAAGTTATTATAAGTACTCATTCAGGCCCTGAATTTTTCTAATAAAATAACACAAAAATAAGAAAATGAAGAATGAAAAATGATGTTGCATATGTTATCAGCAGTTTAATCAAGTTTTCAGTCTTTTCAAACCTACAATCGCATGTGTTAGCTAGTATATATAAAAAAAATTGTTGATTAAGTAAATGAAAGTGGAAAAATCAAATTTTCCTTTTTTAATATCCTTTATTGCGCACACATAAATGAAATTTTTTTATAACTTGGTAGGTTCTCATTCCTTTATTTCTTAATGACTAGCTTTTATTATTATTGATGTTGCTAAAATATTACAATGAATTATAAAAAAGGGCAGATCTTGATGATTAGTATAAGCTAGAATAAAATCATAGAGAATCATGCAAAGTCATGTTTGATTATGTTTCATTTCTTCAAATAACCTACAATAAGAAAATGTGAAAAATTTTCTGCATGCATCACGTAAGTGCTCTATTTAGGGAAAGTCTTAAGCGAAATTGCAATTAAATAAACATATAAAACAAACCTACTTTTATAATATGTAAGAAATTTTTCATTGTAAGTTGGAATTTCTTTAATCTTGATAAACAAGTTGAGAAATGTGCCTTTAAAACAAATTATTACCATATACGTGCTATTAAAACTGTATTATTTTTATTTAATTATAAGAAATATGACTTTAACATCCTTAAACTTTTACTAGATTGAGATCATGAATGAATTTTTTTGAAGGATGAATTGTGCAATTAACACGAACTTCAAATATAAATTATAATTTCTTTATTACTCTTTTCATTTTAATAAATATATATTTAAAATAAAAATAATAATAATAATATGCAAGATACACCAACTTCGTTTAAATTTGCAAATTTGCATACTAATATGAAATGAATGTAATCTTAAACGATTTGTAGCATTTAAAAAAAAAATTTTTGAGAACAAACTTTTATTTCCTAAATAAATGTGGTTAAAACCATTCAAAATTCCTTTACTTAATTTTAACAAAATTGGTGTACCTTGATAACATGTTTAATACTTTTAAGTACAAAGATTCAATCTCCATACTAAAATTGATTTTTTTTTTTCTTTTCTTAATTTTCAGGATAATTATAATGTTCTCCATGTTGCCTCAATGTATTCACGTGAAGATGTAGTGAAAGCATTACTTTCTAAAAAAGGAGTCGATCCGTATTCAACAGGAGGCGTAAGTTTATTTTTCTTTAAAATTTTTACATTCTTCACACTTATTAATGATTTTGAAAATATATCAGTGGTGTTTAAACTACGCGCTCTTACATACAAATTTACAATTTTCAAAAAATACTTTAATATCAATGAAGTCTTTACACTACTGATATATGAGATTAGGCTGATGCTTGCTTAGTTGTATGTTAATAATATAATTTCATTGATAATTAGAAAAATAAAATGTATTTAGATTCATCTGAAAAATCTTAAGTAATAATCAAGTGTTAAAATATACATTTGATTAAATCTTCATATGTAAGGGGTTGTTTACAAATGTAATCCAACTTTTAAGTATATTTAAAGCAAAAAAAATTATAAACTCAATGAAATCTATTAATGAACATTTCGTAATGAAGGAAATGAGTTTATATACTTCATTTTTTGATGAACGTCATTTGTGATCGACCTCTTTTGTATTCAAATGCACTTTGAATATTATTATGAGTTGAAAACATAAAAAATTAAAGAAAAGTTTTTGAGAAATTACAGGAAAAACATATGAGTAGAAAAGAAAAACAATTACGAAAGTTGTTTGCTGAAGCTATGTATGTGGTAATTAAAAAATAATTAGAATAACTTTTCAATGTTTTTAAAATCTTTTACATGTTTCGAATTTCTTTCACGTTCTCATTTTAATAAACTTTCCCCAAAAATACTAATATTTTCCAAAGTTTCCCAGCTCTTAGAAAACATTGGGGAATCCCTAACATCATTTTACTTGAAATTCCCCAATTATTATAGAGCTGGCATACTTTTATATTCGCAATCTAATTTCTCTTTTCTTTCTTTATAAAACAAATAAAAAAATAATGAAACTAACTCTTCAATAAATATTACAGTAAATATTACAATAAAAATTGATAAAATCATCCCTGAAAATAATTAAATAAAAAGTCTTAAAAAATATTCTAATTAAGTAAAGTTTGTTTTCAAATAAAGATAAAAATATTCCTCAAAAACGATCTTCTTTTGTATACAATATTTCATATTTTTACAAAACCCAAAATATTGTAGAAAGCATAAAAATTTGATTCCTTAGTAACACCCTTTGTTATTTTATAATCACAACCAGCATGATTTTGAAATTCCTAAACACTAGTAATAAACAAAAATATAGATTTTTGAATACAATAGATATCTTTACTAAATTTGTTACTTTTATGATTAATGAAATTTATTTTTTGCTAAAATTGAGTAATACATTATTTGTTCTGCACACGTTTACATTTATTTGAAATGTTTTTCTTTACTAGATATAATTCCAATCAAAAATTTAAAAATTAAAAATTTAATCAATCTGAAATCCTTTGGAACAAGATGGACATTTCAATAAATTTGTTAACAAATAGTTTAGATATTTCATGTGTTCTCCTTTTAATTTCATTCTTTTGACTCTTTACAGTTGGTAGGATAAATATATGTTTCAACCTAAATATTCATATTATAAATTCTTTTCGCACTACAAAACTATTTGCAATAATAAAAATTCCATTCTGTCACAAACAACTTTACGCATTGTGCACCTGAAATATTATAGTTGTTTTTTTCTATACAACTTCCTCATTTTCCTTACATTTAATGTATCATAAAGGGATTCAATTGTTTGAAAATACTCACACATTTGTTCATATGCAATTAAATAAAAATAAATCACTTCACACGTTTTTTTACAATTGAAAAATGAATGAAATTTTCCGAATGAATGAGATAGTGCAATTCTTATTATAAGTTGAAAACTTCTTCACAGTGCTAAACTTCAATTGAAAAATTGTAATTACAAAGTAAAATGGTTCAATTACATGCAATGTCTTGAGTGTCATTGAGAATGCAATTAATAGAAAAACTTTTAAAAACGAACTTTGATAAGGAAGTGATAAATGATAAAAAGAACTATGTAAAGTGAAAAAAAGGTTTCTGTTTAAGTTCTTTAAAATTACACGACTTTGTAAAATAGATTGCAAATGAATGTAACTCTAGAAAAAAATTGAATGATTTTTCATGTAAGAATTTAAATGCTAACGAAAATTAGAATTCTTGTCTGACTTTATCAGATATAACAGCATTTAATCAAAAAAGTTGTATGCTAAATTAGTTTCCGCTATGAATCGTAATTTCTCGAATCAATAATGACTGTTAATTTGATTTAAATATTCGACATTGCTATTCAAATTTATTTTTTGTTGCGGTAAATAGATTTAACATAGAGCTTTACACTTTTTCGAGATTAAAGCCTTTGTATGCTATAAAGAAATTCCTTTATCTGTTCTATTAGATCCTGAAACTTATCAAAATCGGCTGTAATTAAAGTCTTCTCAAATATGCTTCCAAATATACATTGGACTATACATTTAAGCAATATTAAAACTCACAAGAAGATTGATAAATTGTGAAAAACAGGGAATGTTCCCATTGAATTTCCTGCCATTTTATGTTTAATTATATTTATAATAAATTTCTATAATAAAAAAAGTAACGCATTGGAAAAAGAATGTAAAAAAAATGTCGATATCGCTAGGAAGCAATAAATGTGCCACATGAATTATGGTTTTGTAATTCCATTTCTCACATTACATTCACAACTATTGATATGAAAATAGATTTCTTGATGTGTTCATATGTTCAAATTCATGCATGTATTGCAAAAGGAATTCGCAAGGTTGAGATTGTCATAAAGTGAGAAACATAATAGAAAATCCAGAGTGGTAAAAAAAAGTCAAAATTTACGCGCTTTGCAATAGTTCCTGTGCTATAAAGCAATAAATTTTGTATCATGAGAAAAAAGACACTTTATTGTACCTCAAAAAATGCTAGAAAATCAAACGAAAAAGAAATAGTAAACTTTTTGCTATATTTTTGTGACTCGCAAAAAGTTTCCCTCTCTTTTACGGGATGTCTGAGCATGTGAAAGGTAAAAACAATATTAAGGGAATTTTTACAATAAACAATATAAATCACGACAAGACCTTTACATGTGTGAAATTGATATCCAGCAATACTATCTTGCTATAAATATTTTCTTATTATTTTACTTATATAAAAAATTGTATTGAAAATAATGGAAAAGTTCGCTTCCAATTTCTTCCGACACACTCAGTTTCAATTAAATGCTCAAAGTGAACGAATCTCGTGCAATTTTTTTCGCAACGTTTTATATTTCATGTTTTGGTATTCGCTGAGAGCTAATGTATTACCAGAAGATGCTGTTTCTGATACTTTGTTAGGATCTAATTATGTGGTGAGATTTGATTTGGTTGAATATAGTTTTTAAGCTGCTGAAAAATACATTTGAAATTATAATTTTTTTTTCTTAATTTATTATTTTCATATTGCACAATGGCACCACTTCCCTAACGCACCAATTAGTAATGTGATAAAGTTATGAATGAAACTCTTTGCATAATCTAGATTTAAAATAACATTGTAAAATAGAAAAAGTTCATAATATAGGTAAAGTAAATTATTCTATTTTTTTTATAAATAATTAAAGTATATCTTTGATTTTATTGTATTTTGTGTAAAATAGGATATAAATCTTTGCCCCAATTTATTAAAAACTAAAGTATTTGAGGAAAGTTTTCAAATGAATTCCTCAGACACCTTCAAGGATTTTATTACGAATCTGAAAATCAATACAAAAAAAATTATTTTTGAGAGCTCAAGCTTGAAGTGCCATCCATGGAAACTAATTTTCAACACTCTACCCCAATACTTCTTTGATTTTTGAAATGTTTTTATTTATGCAAATTGGCAAATAATGATATTTAGCACCAAAAAACTTCGATTGTGCTAATAAATCATACAGTCATAATTTATTGTTCAAAGAGTATACACTTATATCAGACACCTCAATAGAGAGGGATATGAGTATACATAGAAGAAAGTGTTTGTATTCAGTAATTACTTCTCTATTAATTTTAAATTTAGAAATATATACCGAAATTAAAATCAACACAGTAATGTGTAAAATATTTGAATTAGCACAATAGTCACAAAGAAATTAGTTTATAGATGCGGATAGAAGTCAAGCTAAATAAATCCCACTGAGAATTCATTTGAAAATTTGCCCTAATAAGATTTTATAAAGTAATGGATTCAATATCTTTAAGAAATAATTTGATAAAACTTTCTTTGTCTAAAACTAAAGATTCTGAATTTGATTGCTTTAGGTAATGAAGAAAAAAACTCATTGATATTTTTTTAAAAATTTATTACATCTAGTCTCGTTCACAAACTGCTGCCCATCTTGTGGCAAGTCGCCAAACAGGAACTGCCACAAGTATACTTAAGACTATCTTAGCTGCTGCTGGAAAGGATATTAGAACAAAGGCTGATAATGTAAGTTTTATGTTAAACTGAGTTTACAGTTAAAATATTTTGCAAATACGCAAAAAAAGTTAAGGAAATTATCAAATACTGGATAAGGTATAGCTAAGGCAATAAGTCATTAGCAGTTATAAAGAAGAAGAAAAACACCAAATAAAAAAGGGAGTTTGAAATAAAAATTAATTTTCATTTCGGGAGATAGGGAGTTTATTATTCAAAGACGCAAAAAGTGAGAAAAGCTTTGATTTTAGGTAAAATAGGAAGAAGTTTAGTAAAAAAAAGGAAGATAATTCCTTATTCCTTGCCTTTCACATTTATTGAGTGAATAATTTTTGTCGTTTGATACGAAATGGTACCGATATGCTTCCTTTCGAATTTACTTAGTTTTTTTTTTTATATCCAAAAATTCCTTTGGTTCGAAGCATAAATTCCCTGCTTTTTTTTTGTTGGTTTAAATACCTTTTTACATAGTGTGCAATATTTTGTATATGATAATGATTTGATAAAAATATTTCTTTTGTCCTCATTTCCGCCCTAAAATATGATTTTTTTCGGTCATATAATAAAAAGAAAGAAAATTCAAAAAATGTGACAGTTTTCTTCATATAACTACGCATATGAAAGTGCATGAATACAAATGATGCATAAAATTTCATACACAAACTTTTATGTGCAGATAACGCGATTCCAAAAGAATCAAATTCGTGTCAATTTTAATATCATTGTCTGATGTTATGACGAAATCTTAATGTAATGAATAAATTTCTCTCCTTGGCATTTAAATATTCTATCCAAAATTATCGCTTGTGTTTGTTTTCAACCGATTTAAAATTTTCATGTCAACTAGAAATTCATTTCTTTTTGATTTAAACTCCTAAAATGATTACTAATTAAAATGTTTTCAAATTTATTTCCATATTATTCTTGCTTCCTTTCATTTTCCTCAGAAATAGAACAAAATAAGATTTTTTACTTTTTTTCCCTAAAAGAAACTATGAAAAATGTTATGTTAGATCGATAATCACAATAGGCAGTCTGCAATGTCTTTCAGATACAATAAATTGTCTTTCGACAGATTTTTATTGAATTTTTCATGAACTTTTGAATTTTTGCAGTAGTTATGAGTTACTCAAAAGTTATTATTATCTTTTTGAAGTCTTTTTTGATTTACGGCGGACAAAAATTAATTTTAAACTTTTAAAATGATTTCCTCGTCATGCAATTTAGTCGAAAAGAATAGAATAAAAATTTTTGGATTTTAAGATATTATTATTTTTTATTTTTGTTCATTATATAAGTATTTATAATATTTTCATAAATAGAATTAATAGACATTTTTAAAAATAAGTTTAGACTAGACAATTCAAAAACTTGTTGAGTAACTAGAATGTTGAACTTGAGTTAGTTTTTTGACAATTTTTTTAATTTTTTGCTAAGTTAATTAAAATATTTATTAGGAATAATATCATAGAAATGATCGAATTTAAAATTTTGATATTATTTTCATGAAAAATCGGAAAAAATTGAAAAAAAAGTTTGTAAACCTTTGAAGCAAATTAGTTAAAAATTCTCACGATCAAGACAATGTTGAGAGTCTGGACTTTTTGCTAATACTATAAATTTATAAATAGTTTAGAATTTATTAAAACGTAGTAAATATACAAAATAATCTCAAGTCAAGACAAAACTTTGGTAGGACATCAAAACTTATTCTGCATTAAAGATCGTTTATAAAAATATCAGAAAGTTTTCGTTCATCAAAAGGAGTTTTAAATAAATAACAGAATCAGACAGAATCGTCTTTCTTCATCTTCATAAATTATTAAATTTTTAAACAAACATAGTATTGAACTTTAAGCCTTGTCTTCGCTCATGTCAATAAATAGAAAAACTCAATACAAAAAGTAAATTGAAAATGCTTATCATTCCATGACATGAATACCGTTATATATAATATTATTTTACTTCTTCTATTTTTCTTTACTTGCCTTCCTTCCTTCCATCGACATTAATGCAGAAAACAAAACATATCTTTGAATTTTCGTATTATTCATTCCATTTTTTCCATTTGAAATTCCAAAAGACAGAAGTAAAGAATAAGAAATTGTAATGTCTGCAATAAAAAGTCTATTCACGAGACGTATTGATAGCTTCAAACAAAAATTTTTGAATACGATCAGTTGTAAAATGGCGTTGGAAAGGCAAAGACGTTTTATCGTGAAATAAAGAACTTTTTGTGACTTAATTGTTTGAAAAGTTTTGAACATTAAAATTATTAACGATGTCGTTTAAAAAGAATGATTTAAAACTGCGTCAAGCAAATGGTTCACTAAGAGATCCTTTAAGTGATACTTCTTCAAATTCATCCGTTAAGCAACAACGTCAAAATGAAGCAATGCAAAAACTAGGATCAATTTTCAAAAAGAAAACTGAACAAAGTCGTCAGCCAGATTCATGGCAGTTACTAATTAAAAATCTTCTTAATTCGCAGCGTGGTAAATTACCGCTTTTATTAGCCGTGGAAGCAGGAAATCAATCAATGGTGAGAGAACTTTTAGCATCGCAAACAGCAGAACAATTAAAGGTTAGTATGATCTTACATTAAATATAGATTAAGGATATTATTTTTTGAATCAAACATATTCAACTATATAAAGGGCCAATACAACCCAAATAAACATTGACAACTACAATTTACTATAAATTATAGCATGAACAAAATAGCCACTAGTTACTCTTTTGCACATTACCTGTTGAGCAAAGTTTACATAAGCCATTTATAGATGCAAAAAGTATCTTCAAGGTTTCTATGTCTAGAGGCAAAGGAAAACTTGAGAAAAATAAGAATAAAGTTTAGAAACTTTGAAAACTTTTTGTTCACTGAACATTAATCGTTTCCGCTTCATGTTTCCCTTCCAAAATAGCTTTTGCCCTTCAATCAAGCATGTTCAGGAACGTTGGTAAATAAATCCAATGTGTTATGGTACGTTGAAGCATGTGGAATCCTAACATGTGAACAAAAGTTCAATTTATGTGCATAAAAATGTACACGCATTTTTCTTTAATGTCTTCTTCTAACTTCCGATAAAGCCTCCTGTCTTTTATACTTGTTATATATTTCACCCACTTCATTGAACCATTTTTCTTTTTCCTTCATACTGTGTGTCAAATGAATATGTTATAAAGACACGAGAAACACTAGGGTGGGGAAAAATAATGTAAATGAAACTGTTTTGGTAAATGGGGGTAAATCAATCATTTTTTTATTGTAAGGCAATAAATAAATAAACAGAGCTTAAACAACAGAAGGAGAAGAAATTAACTCTTTTGCTGGTATTGCGATATCATTTTTTGTTTTAAATGGAAAAAATGCAAAGAAAAAATCATATTCGTATCTTCACAAAAATATCCTTAAATAACGAAAAAAACTTATTGGATCCTATATTACTGTAAATCCAAGTTTTTTGGAACATTAACCAACTCTGCATATTAAGGCACTATTAAGAAAAATCAATATGTACTTGTTTTACTGAATGAATTTTTTTATAAAAAAGCTTCTTCTATAAGCTTTTGTTTATTGTGTGATTCCATAAATCACTCGAAACAGCTTTGATATTTCAATTTCATTTACCAAAAAAAAAAAATATTTCAATGATTGCGGAAACGATAAGAAATAAATATAGTATTAATAAATGTAATGTCAACAAAACTTTTTCATTTATTCCAGCTTATTTTTGATATCTGGAAAGTTTTTGCGCATTCGTAAATTCAATTTACTTTAAGCTTTCTTCGTCTTATTCTGTATTTCATTCATAATCAATTTCATTCACAATTTGATTTTCTACGATTTATTGAAGTTGAAAAAAAAAATTTACGAAAAGGAATAAATTCTTGTAAATTGCAATTTCAAAGAGTTTTTATTCGGAATGTTTTTATTTTATTTTTTTATTATTTTAATAACGTTTTTTGGCCTAGCTTTGTAATCTTAATAGCGCGAAAAGTATCTCAGAACTAATAATTGACTTTAATTGATAACTTTTGACAGGAATTTTATTGAAATTTTCAAATGTAATTATGTTTAGTCTATTAACATTAAAGACATTCCTTACGTTGTGAATGGAAATTGAGAATTTTTAAATTCTGCTCCACGACATAAAAAGTTCAATAAAAAAAATTTAAACGAATGATAGACCGCTACAACTTGCGTTGAAAAAAGTTTGCTCAAGTCCATAAATTTTTATGCCAGTCATATGTCAGAAGAATAGTATAGTGATAGGATATGTGTGTAGGGAGCCAGTGGAAAATATGGGTAGATATTCAGCTAATTGTTTAAAGACTTTCGAAGACTGTCAGAATTTTTTTCTTGTTTGGACAGCTTGAGTGCATATAAACGTACATAAGGAAATTGGACATTAAATTGCATTGATTGATTAGTGGAAGTGACCGCTTTTTAAAATGTTTCGTAATTTTATTTGCCTGCAAGTCATTCAGTTCACTTTTAAACATCGTGAAGTGAAGACGTTAAAAATTTAATAAGGAGCATTAATACTAATGAGGAAAAACTGGGGAATATTTTTGGATTGGCCAAATGTATCCTGCTTCATATTGATTGTTTTCGTTTATCTAACTCATTGTTCATTTATCTTAATAAAGGCTACTACAACAACAGGCGATACCGCACTACATTTAGCAGCACGTCGTCATGATACAGATATGGTACGAATTCTGGTTGATTATGGAGCAAATGTCGATACACAAAATGGTGAGGGACAAACTGCATTACATATTGCAGCCGCAGAAGGAGATGAGGCACTTGTCAAATATTTTTATGGTGTGAGAGCTTCAGCTCATATTGTAGATAATCAAGGTGAGATTTTCAATTCAAATGCTTAGTTTGAAATAAAATTATAAACTTGATCAAATCATTTTACTTAAATAGATCGAACACCTATGCATTTAGCAGCGGAGAATGGACATGCATCAATCATTGAACTACTTGCTGATAAATTTAAAGCCAGTATCTACGAAAGAACAAAAGATGGAAGTACATTGATGCATATTGCATCACTTCATGGACATGCTGAATGTGCGCAAATGTTATTTAAGAAAGGAGTTTTTCTTCATATGCCAAATAAAAGTGGTGCTAGAAGTATTCACACTGCCGCAAGAAAAGGCCACGTCGGAATCATCAATACATTACTGCAAAAGGGAGAGCATGTAGATGTAACAACAAATGTGAGTTTAATATTTTATATTTTGTTTGACACTGATTATTAATTTAATGTTTAATTATAGAATAACTATACAGCACTCCATATAGCAGTGGAGTCTGCTAAACCTGCAGTCGTAGAAACACTTTTGGGGTATGGTGCAGATCTACACATACAAGGTGGAAAATTAAAAGAAACACCACTTCATCTTGGTTCTCGTGTACCTGATGGAGATAGGTGTGTTCTTATGTTATTAAAATCAGGTGCAAATCCTAACATAACGACTGAAAATGGTGAAAGTCCTGTGCATGTGGCAGCCCGCTATGGAAATGTAGTGACGTTAGATTTACTTTTAGAAGATATGGGAGATCCTTTGCTGAAATCATATGTAAGTGAATTTGATTTTTTTTTGTTCTTTATTGTTTATTGAATATCCTTTTTTAAGGTTGGTGAAACACCACTTCATTTAGCTTGCCGGAATTGTCATCCAGAAATTGTGAAGCATCTTATAAATTTTGTGAAAGCACACCATGCACCAGATACAGCAATTAATTATATAAATGCAACAAATAACGACGGTGAAACTGCTCTCCATAAAGTGTGTCAAATTAATAGAGAAGAAGTCAAAGTGCCAGAATCAGATAAAGAAATTGTAAAGATGCTTCTCGAAAATGGTGGTGATGTTTCAATACAGACAAAATCAGCAACAGAAACATGTTTTCATTACTGTGCTATCGCTGGAAATAACGATGTTCTTACAGAAATGTTGTCTCACATGACAGCGACTGATATTCAAAAAGCAATAAATCGTCAATCATCAGTGGGATGGACACCGTTACTTATAGCATGTCATAAAGGTCATATGGATTTTGTAACAACATTATTGGCTAATCATGCGAGAGTAGATGTTTTTGATACAGAAGGTCGTTCAGCGTTACATTTAGCAGCCGAACGAGGTTACTTACAAGTCTGTGATGCTCTCCTTAATAACAAGGCTTTTATCAATTCAAAGTCGCGTGTCGGTCGGACTGCATTACATTTAGCTGCCATGAATGGCTTCTCACATCTTGTTAAATTTCTCATACGTGATCATAATGCTGTGATTGATATTCTTACGTTACGAAAACAAACACCATTACATTTGGCAGCTGGTAATGGGCAATTAGAGGTTTGTAAATTACTATTGGAACTAGGTGCCAGCATTGATGCAACAGATGATTTAGGACAGAAGCCAATTCATGTAGCAGCACAAAATAATTTTTCCGAAGTAGCCAAATTATTTTTAGAACAACATCCACAACTTGTAATGGCAACAAGTAAAGATGGAAACACATGTGCCCATATCGCAGCTATGCAAGGATCCGTAAAAGTGATAGAAGAGTTAATGAAATTTGACAGAACTGGAGTGATAAACGTGAGAAATAAACTGACTGATTCAACGCCTTTACAATTAGCAGCCGAAGGTGGACATGCAGAAGTAGTGAAAGCATTAGTTCGTGCAGGTGCATCAACTACTGATGAAAATAAATCAGGATTTACTGCAGTACATTTAGCAGCAAAGAATGGACATGGACCAGTTTTGGAAGTGATGAGAACATCAGGTTCATTAAGATCATCAAGTAAAAAACTCGGTCTCACACCGCTCCATATTGCGGCATATTATGGACAAGCTGATACAGTACGCGAATTGTTAGTTACAGTTCCTGCTACTGTAAAATCGGAATCACCAACAGGGCAATCTCTTGTGCCAGAATTAGGAACTGAATCCGGACTTACACCATTACATTTAGCATCATACTCTGGAAATGAAAACGTCGTACGATTATTGCTTAACTCTGCTGGTGTTCAAGTTGATGCTGGTACTTCCGAAAATGTAAATATTTTTCTTAATTTTTGGAATCTTTGTATGCTCACATTTTTACAAATAATATTCCTTATTTATAAATCTAGGGCTATAATCCATTGCATCTCGCATGTTTTGGTGGTCATGTTTCTATTGTGGGTCTCTTACTTAGTAGATCAGCAGAATTACTTCATAGTACAGATCGTCATGGCAAAACTGGATTGCATATTGCAGCAATGCATGGGCACTATCAAATGGTGGAAGTCTTGTTGGGTCAGGGTGCAGAAATTAATGCAACAGACAAAAATGGATGGACACCACTTCATTGTTGTGCAAAAGCAGGTTTTCTAGATGTTGTTAAATTATTGGTCGAGTCTGGTGCAACACCAAAAAGTGAGACTAATTATGGATGTGCACCGATTTGGTTTGCAGCATCGGAAGGTCACAATGATGTTCTAAAATATCTGATGCACAAAGAGCACGATACATATGCTCTAATGGAGGACAAACGATTTGTATATAACCTAATGGTTGTGTCAAAAAATAACAATAATAAACCAATAGAAGAGTTTATTCTTGTTTCACCGGCACCTGTTGATGCGGCTGCAAAACTTTCAAATATATATATTGTTTTGTCAACAAAAGAAAAAGAAAGAGCTAAAGATTTAATTGCAGCAGGTAAACAATGTGAAACCATGGCAACGGAATTATTAGCACTTGCTGCTGGTGCTGATTCAGCAGGAAAAGTTTTGACAGCTATTGATAGGAGAAATGTTGAGTTTCTCGATGTACTAATCGAAAATGAGCAAAAAGAGGTCATTGCTCATACAGTTGTTCAACGATATCTTCAGGTAAATGATATTAGGTAAAATTCCTTTGTCAATTTCAAACTTTAGTCAAAGGAAATTTTTCAAGTTTAATGAATGCCATACTTATGAAATTTTATTTGTCACATCTTTCTAGGAACTTTGGCGAGGATCTTTGAACTGGACAGCATGGAAAATAATGCTTCTTTTCATCGGTTTCATAGTATGTCCTCCGATATGGATTGTTTTTACACTGCCGTTAGGTCATAAATATAACAAAGTGCCTATTATAAAATTTATGTCATATCTAACATCGCACATTTACTTGATGATTCATCTAATGTTTGTTGGTATCATGCCTTTATATCCGGTTGTGAGACCTAGCTTATTGCCATATTGGTACGAGTGGGGATTGCTAGTATGGCTAAGTGGTCTTCTTCTCTTCGAGTTAACAAATCCAAGTGACAAATCAGGCCTTGGAAGCATAAAAATACTTGTGCTTCTATTTGGGATTGTTGGTGTTGGTTGCCATGTTGCTGGAATGACATTAATTGAGAAAGCTTACTGGCCGACTTTAATGTACATAAGAAATCAATTTTTCGCGTTATCATTTTTACTAGCTTGTGTGCAAATTTTGGACTTTTTATCGTTTCATCATTTGTTTGGTCCATGGGCTATTATTATTGGGGATTTGTTAAAAGATTTAGCTCGATTCTTGGCTGTGTTAGCCATTTTCGTCTTTGGTTTTTCAATGCACATTGTTGCACTTAATCAATCGTTTGCAAACTTAACCCCCGACGATATTCGAAGGCTTCAACGGACTGTAAACCAAGCTGGATATTTTCATGATGGTAAGTGTCATAACAAATAATGTTTTTTCACATTTTTTATTTTTTAAAAAATTACGGAGAATTTTTATGTATCTGTATTAATTATTTTTAATGCTTGAAAATAATTAATTTTCAATCAAAATGCAATACTACAGACAGTAACGAAAATGACGATCAAAGTGACAAAGATGAATTGACATTAGAACCAGCCGCAGAAATGGATAAAGAAGAGTTTCCTATGGGTGCTTCAATGCCTGTAACTGATTTATACAGAAGAAAACATAAAACTGATAGTAAGTCGCAAAACCCTTCGACTTCCCTTCTCTGTGATTTCCAACAGTATAATCAATCCTAAAAATGACTTGTTCCTCTTTCTTCTTATTATCTCCTTTCATTTGTTCACTTCCTCTATAAAAAAAATCAACACATGCGCAATGTAGTCAGAAATTCCCCTACCTTAAAAAAAATTAATCAAAATGTTGTTTAAATTTATTTTTAAAAAGTTCTATCAATTCAAACCTCTAATTAAGTTAAAAATCTTAATGCTCTTCATGAAGCCCATAAACAATTATCTTAGTGTTCCTCAATGTTTACCCGAATCTCCCAGCAATTGTTCAGCCAATCATAACCAATTCACCCACTCCTTTATCTAATGTCATCAATACCAACCGGAAAGCTTAAATTAAGTAATTTCAATGCACGTTCCTAAAATCCTGAATTTAATTCTTCACTACCTTTAAACGGATCCTCTTTCATTTTGTGTGTTGTCCTCAAAATTGAATATTAAAAATGTTCTTCATTTCTTTACAAAACTTATAAAAAGTTCCGATGACGCCAATTATTGCATTTGAAAGACTATTTTTTGCTGTTTTCGGACAAACTTCACCAGATGATATCAATTCACAGAGACATACTCGTCCCGAATGGACTGAAATTTTATTTAAATTAGTGTATGGAATTTATATGTTAGTCTCCGTAATTGTTTTGATAAACCTACTTATTGCAATGATGTCAGATACTTATCAACGTATACAGGTAATAACCATAATATTTCTTTTTTTCATGTGTTCCTTTACCCTGATTTGTGATTACTTCCGAAACAACCATTATCCTTAAAAAAACACCTTTTCATCGCCAATCAAAAATCCTAATCATCCAATCAACAGTCCGCTTAAATCCGATCACATCATTTGAGTTATTATTCTTTGCTGTATTTGGTCAAACAACAACTGAACAGACACAAGTTGATAAAATTCAAACACCTTCAGTTCGAACACAGCCTTTATGGACAGATTATTTGTTCAAAATGGTATTCGGTGTTTATATGTTAGTATCAGTAATTGTACTTATCAACTTGCTGATTGCTATGATGTCTGATACATATCAGAGGATTCAGGTATCTTTATACAAAAACTTAAATAATCATTAATTTAAAAAAAAAATTAAGTTCGAATGGTTAAAACAAAAATATTTTTTTTTTTGGCAAATTTAGGCCCAATCTGATATTGAATGGAAGTTTGGATTATCAAAGTTGATAAGAAATATGCATAGGACGACGACAGCACCATCTCCTTTAAATCTTGTGACCACTTGGTTTGTTTGGGTTGTTGAATTTTGTAAAGTAAGAACAAAAATTATGATTACAATTTATATGAATTAATTAATTTTTACTATTTCTATAGATTAAATTTTTAAAGCGGAAACGTCCGAGTTTTGCCCAAATGGTTTTATCTAGAGGAGGTGCGCCTCAAAGTCCTCGTAGCAAAGCAGGTGCGAAATGGTTGTCAAAAATTCGGAAAGGTCAGGTGGCTCCAAAAGGTTTGCATCTATCCCAATTGAAATCTTTCCAAGATTATAAATCGGAAGAAAAAATCAAAAGAGTTCTTCTATTTTTGATGTCGTTTAATTTTTATTTTGTATTCCATAAAAAAAATTCAGATTTAGTGACGATTTATTTGCTCATATTTCTTCTTGGTGTTCATTAGATATGTGTGTGAATTTTACATATATTATATAACTCATTATATTATCTATAATCCTATCGTTATTGAATCCGCATAATGGATTCTATATTATTTAAACTAATTTTTTAAACTTTTTCATATCGATTAATTTTGTTTTCAATATAGTGGCAAAAAAATTATAAGGTTTCAAATAAGTTTTTTGAAATTATATTTTTGTAGTAAGGTTGTATCCCGTCAAACTCATCAACCTTTTTATATCTGTCCAAAACTTCCTGTCCTCCGACAATCCGATTTGGAGCTAGACTGATCTATACAACAAATATTTATTGACACAATTTTAATATCTTGACCTAACAATTTTCCTACCCCTTCAATCAAGTAACAGTATTAAGTAATTTAGGCACTAATTGCAAGCTGCTGCATCCCCTATTGTACCCTTCATTTTTATTAGACCAATGCTCTTCAACCCCCTCAACCTCCCAAAACATATACTCTCGCAGCATATTATGAAATGCAACTTTAGTTAATTAAATGGTAACTTATGCAATGTTGGCTGAATAATGAATAACAAGTTAAAGGATTGTTGATTTACACAGAGTACAGTAATGCTTAAACAACAGTATTTTTAATCAAATTTCAAGTTAACCTTCACTTAGTCGTCCTCAAAGTATAAACATACAAAATATATCAATCATGCATGATCCCATCATCAATTGCTGCAAAAGTAGAATTTTAGAAGCTAATGCTAAGAAAAAAATTCCAGTTTATGTTCAACGCAATTGGATTTTTTGATTCATTTGATGCTCGGAAACAAAACCTTTGTTGAATTTTTGTAGATCTTAAAAATAAAATGCATTTAGTTCTATAGTGAAATAAATTATAGTCAATCACACACGTGCGTAAGATTTAGATTAGCAATAGTTGACAAAATCCAAAATTTAAATTAAACCTAAAATCAAACTTTAAAAAAAAAACTTTAAAAAATATTTAAAAAATATTACCAAAATTTAAAAAAAATCCGATTAATCTGATTAATTAAACTAAAATAACCAAACTAAAATTTCTTTCCTCACATATAGCATGTGCACATTAGATAAATAATAAAACCTTATTAAAATGGTGAACCGTAGCTATTGATGTATTTGTTTCTTTTTTTCTTTTTTAAATCCAAAAATAACATTTATACTTCACAACATATTAATATTATACACCCTCAATAAAATTGGGAATTCAATAATTGAATGGAATTTTATGCATGGCACTCCATTACTAATTAATTCATCCTATGTATTTGAATGATTTGTAATACACATAAAATCACAAATCTCATCAATATTGTGACATAATAGAATCGAAAAGTTCGTTATCAGTAAAACATGTCTCGCCTTTAGGATCACAAACAAGTTTCGGTACACTCAATCAAACGCGTATCGAAAACGTTGCTGATTGGGAAGCAATTGCTAAGAAATATCGAGCTTTGGTTGGCCTAGACGGAGAAGATTCTGGTTCAATGAAGGATGGATCAGACGATGAAAAATCAAAACATGGTGAAGATGGAGCTATTGCCATTGGTGGAGCATCTGCACAACAAACACAACAGATCAACAGTGCAGCTGCTAATCTTGTTTAAATGTCTTCAACATTTTATAATCTGAAATTTTTTATGTGCCAATCATATTTACTAAAAACATTAATTGACTTATTCTCCCAATCGTCTCTTTCCTATAAAGAGAAAATTTATCGTTAACAAACTTAATACGATAAATCATACAAGAATTTTTTTGTAAAGCTGGAAAAATAATGAAACTCTAAATGTGATTATGTTTTAATTCCCAAAAATTCTAAATGTTGAATTTTCTCAAATTATAATTTTTTCTAAAATTTGCTTGAAATGTTCAATGCTGGTTTTATTTAAAAAAACAAATTGAATCATGTGCTTTTATGACTGAGTTGAAATAATACATGAATTACTTTATAGATGTGGAAAACTTAAGATGAATTATATTTTCTTGCATGGTCAAGGACGTTTTAAACCATCAATTCTTAATAATTATAAGCATTTTTTATTTATCAACTCGAAGTATAAGGAAAAAAAACAACAAAATCTAGTTCTTGCCTAAATAGTAGAAAAAAAATTTTGGAAGTGGTTCAATTTTTCCGTACATTTCTAGTCCAAATTTGTTGAATAATTTTGTTAAAGTAAATAAAAAATTTTAAAAAAAAATCTTTGCTAAAATTGATTTCAAGAAATCAAAATTTATTTGTCAAATGAAGAAATTATGATAAAAAAAAGAAAAATAAATAATTATTTTTAAAACATAAATAGTGATTACTTTATCTCAGAGATCGAAGCCGATTTTTTCGGCTTAACTCAATTTTTGATTTTTTTGATAGAAAAAAGCTATTTAACACCCATTTCAAGTATTTAAATTGAACTTTACATGCTTTACTATGATTCTGTGTAATATTTTGTCAGCATGTAGCTATAGAGTGAGCTGAAGTGGCTCGGTGGCGGAATGGTTTAGTACTTCGGTACCTAATTATTGCAATACCGACACAGCGATCATGGGTTCGAGACTGGGTATGGGAAATTTTTCACTTGTCCTTTTTCGAATCATATGTACTGGAAATGAGGCTCACAGCCTTCCTTTGTAGGCTACAGACAGAAATGTCATCAAAGGAGTGGTTCGGATCCCACTATAAATTGTAGGTCTAGGTTTGAGTGCAGTGGTTTGGCGCATCCTCACTCGTTAAACTCTCATTAGCTGCGAATCGCCCTAGCGCACCTCTGGATCACAATTGATCTGAATAGGTAAAGGTTTTTTTTTTTTTTTTTTTTTTTTTTTTTTTTTTTTTTTTTATGTAGCTATAGTGAGCTCAGAATTTCAATTTAGCCGATTTTAAGCCGATCGGCTTAAATTTCGGCTTAACATTCTTTAACTTGAAATTCTGAGCATCCAAAATATATGCTGACAAAATATTACACAGAATCATAGTAAAGCATGTAAAGTTCAATTTAAATACTTGAAATGGGTGTTAAATGGCTTTTTTCTATCAAAAAAATCAAAAATTGAGTTAAGCCGAAAAAATCGGCTTCGATCTCTGCTTTATCTTTTTTATTGCATTCTTTTAATTCTAAATTGAAATTTTCCATTAGTGGTAGAACATTTTCGCATGCATACTAGCATTTTATATTAATTTAGTCAAGACACATTTTTGAGTTTCAAACATATTTTGAAATGTTTGAGAAGCGCACAAAAAACGACTGTCTTTAATAGTTTTTTTTTAACCATAAAGATCAAAATTTCGTTTTAGAAATCAAATGAAATCCCCAAACATTTGATGCAGCCTCTCAACTGAAAACACTTATTCGTCTTTTCTTAAACTTATATAAAATCAAATCTTGTTGCATAGAATTCAAATAAAATAAGGTAAATCATTCTAAATCTAATCAAACTTTTAATAGTCGACCACTTTATTAATTGAACAGAAGTTACATTGATTAATCTTTTTCAATTATCAGCACCACCAGTTGATACCAAATTTATTTTGAAATAAAAAATTAATGTTTTCTATTCCAATGACTAAGATATTTGAATTGTTAACGAGCTTAAATTATTTAAGTTCTTTTACATCATTAAATGTTAGATTGTTTTATTGTTCAAACAAATATAAAAAAGAATTAATTTAAGAAATTTGTTTAAAATTTTAAAATGGAAATAAAGGAGAACTCAACTTGCCTCACCACCAATTGTGCTAGAATTGAATGACAAATTGACAAACAAAACAACTTCTTTATTCTCTTAAGTTTCGCTCACCATGATTTCTCATTCACTTAATTGCTGTATTCTATTATTTTTAGAAAGTTTTCAAAATGTTAAAAAAGATTATTACTGATTTAGTTTTTAAATTAAAGCTTCTGAAAAAATATAAATATTTATACATAAGGTGTTATCTCATTCATTTAAAAATGTAAATTTTACCGACCTTTTATACAGTTTAACCAGAACGTGTTGATAAATTGTGTCTGCATGCTTTTCAAATATTTCTTTAGTATTTGTAAGTATTCAATAACTGAATAAATAATGCATTTAAAAAGAAATTGTGAAATTGAAAATTAATTCCTAACAGATTGTTATCTATACCAATAATATTATGTGTGTGAGCCTTTTGTTCCTTTATAATACGCGTGATACCTTCTTCATTTCACTTTATATCAATTTTCATTATACTTTTTTTTTTATTTAATTCTGTTTTGTTCGGCGGTTGCACAGATAAATAAACATTTTATAACATAGGATTTTGAGCAGCTAAAAAGTAAGTTAGTAAAGAGATACCTGGCGTTCTTATTAATGAGACACAATTTGTCAATATGCCATTATATTTCCTTCATTGGTTGATTTTCTTTTATATTCTCTCGCTCAGTCTTTCTTTTAAAATGTGTAGAAGCTAAATGAATGGTTGTTGTACCTTTATCATTTTCATGGTGGCTCAACGACTTAATGCTCCTTAACGAATGCGATCATTCATTGGTGTTACTTTTCTTTTTCTTTTATTTAAATATTTTTTTGAAATTATACAAAATTCTCTTTTATTTTATGCTGGAAACAAAAACATAAAACAATCAATGCTTAACAATTATACTGCGCATAATTTTATAGTTGTTGCTCTATTCATTTCATATATCATGAACATGTACATATGTACTCATAAAACATGATAATGTATGAAATGTAAATGGCAACAACGTAGAGAAGAAATATTTACAGTGCACAATTTAATTATTTAATTGGTGAGTGCAGAATGTTGTTGGGTTTGTAAATTATGGAAATTGTGAATGATTTTAGCAATTTATCGGTGCATATATCATTTTAGCTTCAGTGCACGCTTTAATAGTAATATGTTACTCAACATTTAGAAATGCAAACTTAAACTTGCAATAATTAATAATTGTTCTTCTTAATTTAAAAAAAAACCGCATTTCCTTTGGTAATTAAAAAAATGTTTGCTCACATTAGAGGATATCCTGAAAAGCTTTTTATCCCCCATTATTTTATTACTATTGACTTTCATTGCAAGATTGTTAAAAAGAATTTTTTTTTCAATAATTGACAACATCAATTAACTCGTGAAGGTAAGAAATTAATAATTATAACAAACAAATTTATCCACATTCAATACCCAAAATAAATCAAAAATAATCTCAAAAATATGCGGATACTCATGTATGATAAATATAAATGTGTGGTTTGTGCGATAGTAATGAGCATTAATGATAGGGATCTGCAATTTTTTATTTTTTTTTCATACATGGTATATTTTCATAACCTTAAAACCAAACGCAATCGAATTGTCGAATGCACGCAAAAGAATAAAAACTCAAAGAGTAAAAAAAATAAGAAAAATGTGGACTAAACTTTAATTCCTTGATTCTTAATAATATTAATATGTTTAAAATTTTAAAGTAATTTTCATTAATACATTGTTGTACTAATGGATAATCACATATGATTGTCAATAAATCTATGTATCATAAAATTAGCTGAAATTATATACTGCTAAGTAATGAAACGTTATACGTTAATGGATTAAATTGAATAGCTTAAAAATTGAAAATTTAAATCAAGAAGTTTAATTTTAATTCTATCGAAAGTATGTTACAATTTTGCATTAGCAAAGTTAATGTTAATATAAATTCATAAAACATTTAACCATAAATCTTTAGTAAGACTTCATAAATTATTTCCATTATGTTTCAGCCTTTCGTTTACTCCTTTTTCAATGCCACGCATAGCGATATTTTTTCTCTTTCTTATATATTTTATTGTCTTGCGCTGCTCTGCACTTGATGCATCTTTCGTGAGTTTTTAAAAGAAGGAGATTATTAAATGAAGTGCACCTTCGAAGGTGGTTATGAAGTCGTAGTCACTTTGGCATGAGAGAAGAGCAGAGAACTGTGTTAAAAAATTGCTGTGAGGTGTGAAGAGCAGTCAAGAAAGAAATAAACTACACATAAAGCAAAAGAGAAGCAAATCATATATATGTAGCGATGAATAAAAGCCATAACATAAGAGAGATACACCGCTCTATACTTATTTTAGCGATAATAGTCAGATCATCATTCAGAGACTTCTAATTAACTCAAATATACCGTTCATATTATTGTTGCTTCTTCGTAAAAATGCTTCTACGCTTTTTCTCTTCTTTGCGGTCAATAAATAATATTTTGATGTTCAAAGTTTTTAGAAACTTTAAAAAGCTTTAAACATGAACTATTTCAAACAATTGAGTAGTATATTAAAAGAAAATCAATAACTTATTAATTTCATTTAAAATAAAAATTTGTAGTTGTTCATCATAATCATATAAATAAATCAGCCAATGAAACAACAATGAAATTAAGTCATTTCACATTTTATGTAACTTTAGTTTGTTCACAGATGTAAAAGAAGTGTGTCGCCTCAAGGTTGAATTTGCAAATAATAACAAAAATGTACTGAAAACTGAAGAAAATAATTTTTCTTCTCTTAGAAAACATGAAAATCCAATCAATCTTCTTAATCGTTGATACACGCTCTATCACTTATTGATTTGTAATGGCTTCATTTTTCTTGGTAATTTGCACTAGTCTATGATTCAAAGAAGAATCGGCCTGTTTCACTAAAGTGGATTATCCTCGATTTCGGATTATCCACTTCAGTTTTTTGGGAATATCGCCAGACGCTTAAGGTTATTAGATAATTAATGTGTGATCTAGCAAGAGTACTTTGCTACTTAAATTAACATATACTTAGAATTTT